TAAATCAGTTGTCTGATATTGCATCCATCCGGGTTTATCTTAAACCGGTTTTGACCATTTTGAAAGTGGTTTATGTACACTGAATTTCTAGGTTAGGGACAGACATTCGGAAAGGTTGAGCCTGAATTGATTCAATCTTTGCAGGTTAGTCTACCCTGGCTAGGCTGAACCAGTTTGTAACTATAAAGACATTCCCTCTGGACTGAAGAAATGCAGGCACATGCCTGCAGTGGCTTAGGCTAGACGCCAGGTGCGCTAAAGCAGCCCTTCCTTCCCTTCCACCGTGCTGAGGTGGGTGTGGCCAGGCCCAGCAGGATGCTCTAATTAGGGAGGGGTTCTTCTTCCCCCCTCTCCCCCCAGCTGTTGATAACAGAGCATTTATCAGCTGTTATCAGCTTTTAGCACCTCATCAGAAAACAAAGCCTCGCTCATTAGTTCAAGCTCTTCTTAAACAGCTTTTTCCAAGGAAGGAATGGAAGGACATTACCAGATACCTGTTGATTATCTCCAAGAAGCCCTAATCAGACACTGTCCTGTCTGCTTTTGTCCTGTTGTAGCAAACCCCCCAGTTTTTCTTTTTTCTTTTAATTTAAAAATGCATTTCCTCCCCTTCCCCAACCATTTCTGACTTTCTCTCTGCCCTCTCTATGCCTTATAAGTGATTACAGGTACTAGGTAAGCTAAGACAAGTTCTTGTATACTATTATTGTAATAGGACACTTTTGATATATTGTAAATAGCATTCTGTTATGTTGTATTGATTTTTACTGTTTTATATTGTATTATATTGTATTCCTATAATTTGTGCATTGATTTTTATTGTTTCATATCGACATTGTATGATTTAGGCCTGCAATGTGTGTTGGCATGAGTGATGTCAAGTATCCATTTTGCGTGTCAGGTCCCCATCTTGTTCCCATCTTGTCCCCATGCCCTGTTGTGTAAGTATGTTGTAATCTATGACTCATACCTACCCCTCCTATGTAACTTGGTTCCTGAATGAATGGGGATGAATGAGGGTGTTTGAGAGACAGCGGTAGTATGTCTAAAAATAGCTCCCTCTGAATGACCGAACCATCAAAACTGATACCTGAACCAACGACCCAGCTCTTGGAACTACCCTCAGCATTCAAGAAACAAAAGATGAGGCAACCCACCATTGTGCCAAGGCTGCACATGCTTAGTAACAACACCTGGAGCCCTCCGGAACAGGACTGACCTTGCCTGGACATGCCCTCCCCATAGGAGATCATAGGTAGTCTGCCCCATAAAAAGTGGTAGTGAAGAATGACTCCTTGGGACACCCTCTCCATCTGGACCAGCACCATGCCACACCACCTATCCACCCAAAGGCCCTGCTGGCAACCACCCTCTGGACAACACCTTTCTGGGGAAGACCCTGACTGGCCACCGAGGATCAACTCGTATCCCAGGATAGGTAGCTATCACCCACCTTCCTTCCCCAAGCAAAGGACTTGGACACTGTTTCTCTTCTCTATCTGGACTCCAACCCTTCCACTGAGTCTTTCTCCTGCTACCATTGTGAGTGCCTCTGTGTGTGTGTGTGTGTGTGTGTGTGTAGGCATGGGGCTGTGTAGTGTGTTGTCTGCTTAATAAACCTGTTATTTTGAAACTGCAAGTTGGGTTTTTGTCTGTTTCCTAACTGTTTCCTCCTTGCCACCACTCACCTGCCTCAAGCACCCAGCTTTGAGCCTCAGTTTCCAGCCCCAAGCTCCCAGGTTTCTGCCTCTCTCTCTTTCCTGGTCATCTCCTCCTTGCCACTGGGCTTTTTCCCCTTGCACCAGTGACCTTCAGTAACCCTGGGGCCATTTGACCTTAAGCAGCCCCAAGCCTCAGTTCCTCAACCAGCTTCTCTCTAGTCTACCAGTTGTAATCCTGGTTCCAGCAACTTTTACTCCTTACACTTTCTCTCTCACCTTAACCTTAACCTTCCCCCAGGTATTGCAAGTACCCCAAACACACACATACATACTGTACCATGCAAGTTAGGAACTCACCTGTGTATATGTGTAGGTGGGTGGTTTGTGTGTGAACTGATGAATATGCATATATATGTCATTGTGTGCGTGATATCTGAATTAGTGATCCATGTAAGTGTACTGGGTGTGTGGGTATTGACAACTGATTGTTGTCTAATTTTTGGTGTGTGTAGTGTGTATGTGTTTGACTCGGTGTTAAGTATGCATGTACCTTGGCTGGTTTGGATGTGTATGTGGCTGAGTTGGTAGTAGTGTGTGTATGCACCTAATTGATTTGTGTGTTTGTATATGTGCCATTGTGTCGCACTGTCCCATCTAACAGTGCGATATTGAGACACTGAGAGTTGGCCTGGCCCCACAGGACAACACTGTCTGCCTTACACAGACACCTCTCAGCATTAGCTAGCATCCCACATACTGGCTATGGTCCATGCTGTGGGAGAAGCTTACATTATTTAGCAAAAAGGCAAATATCTATCAAACTGTAGGTTGTGGGCAATCTGGTACTTCATCCAATTTTGAGAGAGGGCATATATTTTGCTTTTAC